GCACTGTCGGAGGGTCAGCGCCGAGGGAGCGGGCACTGTCAGAGGGTCAGTGCTGAGGGTGCGGGCACTGTTGGAGGGTCAGCGCTGAGGGAGTGGGCACTGTCGGAGGGTCAGCGCTGAGGGAGTGCTGCACTGTTGGAGCGTCTGTGCTGAGGGAGCTGGCACTGTCGGAGGGTCAGCGCTGAGGGAGTGCTGCACTGTCAGAGGGTCAGTGCTGAGGGAGGGGTCACTGTCAGAGGGTCAGTGCTGAGGGAGGGGTCACTGTCGGAGGGTCAGTGCTGAGGGAGCGGGCATTGTCGGAGCTGCCTTTGTTCAGACTAAGACATTATGGCACGCATCCTGCCTGCCCTTTAAGTAAACGTAAGAGGTTATTGATCTGTAATGAATGAAGGATGAGATATTGCTGAGGGTGAGGGGAACAGCTCTCTGCATGGGGGGGTGGGGAAGAGTTGATTTCATGTTGGAGGTCTGTTTCACCTCAACTCACCCGCTCTCTGGATGGGTAGTAGACAGAGCAGATATATCTCCGCAATCTGGATATGTAACATCCGAATAAAACAATGAAGAATGTCATTCCATATAAAACTCCTGCAAAGCAAATAGATATAGGAACTTAATGATGCAATGCTCTTCTGGCTTGTTTTATTACATTTATTATACACAGTCTACATTTTGCAGAGATATTTAGCCTCCTGTGTTCATTATATAGTCAGTCAGCGCAGGTACCTTTTGGAGAAACTGGATTTGATATCTTGTGACACAATCTGGCACCAGGAGTTGTTGGGTTATGGAAAAAAAAATACTGCCTAGCAACAGCTTCAGAATTTGCTTCGAATTGCAGTTTGACACAGACCTGAGGAGGCAATTGTACTCAGAACTGCAAAAAGCATGCTAGTGAGACAGATCTTTCCTCTCTCTCTCTCTCTCTGTGAGTGGGAGAAGATGATGACTAAAAGCTTTGTAAAGGATAACTTCTAATTACAGTGAAGACCTAGGTCCTACTGACTGGCCGACGAATGAGAGTAGCAGCAATGTGATTTAATTGCCAAAAACCGAACAAAAAAAGGTCACCTTATTCTGCCCTTTTGTATTCTAGAGTTTAGAATATATTATGTTTTGACTTTTGGCAGTTTGAATTCTTTAGATACGGTCAATGTGTATTATAGAGACAGAGTCAATGTATAGTGTACAGAAAAGAGTGTATTATAGAGAAATGTTCAGTATATGTTACGGTCAGTGCGAATTTCCAGGACAAAGCAGGCGCTTGATTGGCACCATATCCACAAGCATCCACTCCCTCCACCACCGACGCTCAGTAGCAGCAGTGTGTACTATCTACAAGATGCGCTGCAGAAATTCACCAAAGATCCTCAGACAGCACCTTCCAAACCCACGACCACTTCCATCTAGAAGGTCAAGGGCAGCAGATACATGGGAACATCACCACCTCCAAGTGACTCACCAACCTGACTTGGAAATGTATTGCCGTTCCTTCACTGTCACTGGGTCAAAATCCTGGAATTCCCTCCCTAATAGCATTGTGGGTCAACCTGCAGCAGGAGGAAAGCAGCGGTTCAAGAAGGCAGCTCATCACCACCTTCTCAAGGGCAACTAGGGATGGGCGAAGAATGCTGTCCCAGCCAGCGACGCCACATCCCACAGAAACGAATAGAAAAACATAATTATAAAGATGGAGTCATAGTGTCATACAGCACAGAACCAGACCCTTCGGTCCAACCAGTCCGTGCCGACCATAATCCCAAACTAAACTAGTCCCACCTGCCTGCTCCTGGCCCATATCCCTCCCAATCTTTCCTATTCATGTACTTATCCAAATGTCTTTTAGGAAGCTCAGGAGTTCATTCCACACGCGAACCACCCTCTGTGTAAAAAATTTGCCCCTCGTGTCTTTTTTTAAAATCTTCCTCCTCTCACCTTAAAAATGTGCCCCCCAGTCTTGAAATCCCCCACCCTAGGAAAAAGACACCATTAACTCTATTTATACCCCTCGTGATTTTATAAACTTCTATAAACTTTATAAACTTCTAGGGGTCGCCTACACTCCAGTGGAAAAAGCCCCAGTCTTTCTTTATAAATCGAACCTTCCATACCTGGCAACGTCCTGGTAAGTCTCTTCTGAACACTCTCCAGCTCAATAATATCCTTCCTATGCCTGGGTGACCAGTGATTTATAGAGAAATGTTCAGTGTATGGTTTAGTCAGTATGAGTTATATGGGCATGGTCAGAGTCTATTATATAGTTACGGTCAGTGGAATTTGTACAGATGTAGTTCATGTGTGCTATATAGAGAGATTTGCAGTAATCTCACCGATTAGTGAGTAGATTTTGTAGTTTGGAGGTGAGGGGATTATCGCACACCTCTTGGAGACTACGGTAATGTTCCCACTTTGTACCACATCAAACGCTGCCACCATGTTGCGGTAAATATCTGAGGCATATCCGGTGCCGTTGATGGAGATTCCCAGGATCACCGGAGCTGTGGGAAATATTGGACATGGTTAGTGATGCCCAGCCTGCTCAGAGGTAGCACAACACGTGGCATGTACCGCGCTGAGGACTGAAACAGCTTGAGACGGCTCGGAAGCTTGTGTTTTAAGTTGGAACCTTGGAAAGGTAACAGCGCAAGAAGAGGCCATTGCATTGGTGGTGTCTGAAGAAACTAGCCACCCATTCTAATCCCACTCTGCCCCCCAGCAGCTTAAACCCCCTCAGGTTCCACGTTTCTGCCTCAAACACCAAGCAGGGGTGGCATAGTGGTTGGCACCGCTGTCTTACGGTGACAGGGACCTGGGTTCGATTCCACCCTCGGGCGTCTGTCTGTGTGGAGTTTGCACATTCTCCCTGTGTCTGCGTGGGTTTCCTCCGGGTGCTCCAGTTTCCTCCCACAGACCAAAGATGTGCGGGTTAGGGTGGATTGGCCATGCTAAATTGTCCCGTAGTGCCCAGGGATGTGCGGGTTAGGGTGGACTGGCCGTGCTAAATTGTTCCGTAGTGCCCAGGGATGTGTGGGTTAGGGTGGATTGGCCATGCTAAATTGTCCCGTAGTGCCCAGGGATGTGCAGGTTAGGATGTATTGGCCGTGCTAAATTGTCCCGTAGTGCCCAGGGATGTGCGGGTTAGGGTCGGTTGGCCGCGCTAAATTGTCCCGTAGTGCCCAGGGATGTGCAGGTTAGGCTGGGTTAGCCATGGGGAAACCCCATGAGGGGTTATGAGGATGGGTTAGATGCCCTTTGGAGGGTCGGCACAAACTCAGTGGGCTGAGTGGCCTCTTTGCGCACCGTAGGAATTCCAAACTGCCGACACCACCACCCTCTGGGGGTGGAAGATTTTACTGGTGCCCTGTGTAAGTCTTTACTCATCACCTTAAGGTCTGTGCCCACTTCCCTGTCATTGACCTCACCACTGCAGGGGGAGAGATCTTCCTCGTCTACTCTGTCCAAGACTCCTCGTCGTTTTGTCGACCTTGTTTAAGTCAGCCTCATCCTGGGCCTTTCCAATCTATCCTTGTCACTGCTATTTCCAAGACCAGTCAACCCTTGTAGTAAACCTACTCTCCCCCTGCTGGAGTGACTCTATTATCCCCATAATGTGTTGGCACTGCACACAGAGCTCCAGGCGCGGGTTACCCTGCTTTCAATTCTGCTTAAAACTTTCTTTTGATTTGAAAGACTGATCCGAGGTGAGACACTCAAAGGTAGGATCTGATTGAGGACTTTAAAGGGGACTGGCAGGGTTGACAGGGAGATGTTTCCACTTATAGAGTCATACAGCACGGAAACAGACCCTTCGGTCCAACTCGTCCATGCTGACCTAAATTAATCTAGTCCCATTTACCAGCATTTGGCCCCTATCCCTCTAAATCCTTCCTATCCATGTCCCCATCCAGATGCCTTTTAAATGTTGTAACTGTACCAGCCTCCACGACTTCCTCTGGCAGCTCATTCCACACACACACCACCCTCTGTGTGAAAAAGTTACCCCTCAGGTCCCCTTCCCCCTCTCATCTTAAACCTATGCCCCTCTAGTTTTGGACCTCCCTATCCTGGGGGAAAAGACCTTGTCTATTCACCCTATCCATGCCCCTCATGGTTATGATGGGTCCACCAATATAAGGCAATAAATCCAATTAGGAATTCAGGAGAAATGATTTCCCCCCCGCCCTTGACAACAGGGAAAATGGGGGACTTGTTTCCACTGGGAGTGGGGGTGGCGGGCGGGGTTGAATGGGGATTTGGTCCCACGGGGAGTATGGGGGAGGAGAATGGGGGACTCGCTCCCACGGGGAGTTGTGGGGGAGAGAATGGGGGACTCGCTCCCTTGGGGAGTGGGGAGGGGGAGAGAATGGGGGACTCGCTCCCGCGGGGAGGGGGGGGGGGGGAGAGAATGGGGGACTCGTTCCCGCGGGGAGGGGGGGGGGGGAGAGAATGGGAGGCTTGCTCCCGCAGGTAGAGGACAGTGCGCTGGAGCAGAGCAGCAAGCCTGAGAGAGGGATATTTGCCAGTGAAACAGGGTGGTGTGTTAAAGCTGCAAGCTGCTGGCTTATCAGCCGAGCTGAAGGATGGGGAGGGTGCTGGGGCCTGGAATTCTAACCTGAGGAAGATCAGAGCCCTGACAGGCAAATACATACAGTCCGCTCAGGAAAGTAAACCAACAGCTAAACAAAAAAAAAAGCGAGAATAAGAAGTCATCGCGAAATAAGAAAGGAGGGGAGGCTGGGGACTCACATCTTGCGACAATCTCCACTTGCAGATGGTAACTGACCATATCGAGGATCCAGAAGATGGTGTAATCCAGTAGGATGATGATCACGACGGATACAGACTGCCTTAGCACCGTGGTGAAGCCCACAATATATTTCTGCTTCTCTGACACCGTCATATAGTAGGACCCTGTTGAAGTAAAGAGGTGTGTGTTCAAGCCTCCATCAGACAACTTAAGACGTCCAAGCAGAATTAAGCCCATCCAACACGTTGAGTCTGTTCCACCATGCAGCACGGAATCAGGCCCTTCAGCCCAACCCATCCATGCTGACCATAGAGTCATACAGGATACAAACAGAACCTTCACTCCAACTTGTCCATTGTTGATCATGTTCCCAAAATGAGCTGGTCCCATTTGCCAGCATTTGGCCCCCTATCCCCCTAAACCCTTCCTATCCATGTCCCCATCCAGATGCCTTTAAAATGTTGTAACTGTACCAGCCTCCACCACTTCCTCTGGCAGCTCGTTCCATACACGCACCACCCTCTGTGTGAAAATGTTACCCCTCAGGTCCCTTTTAATCATTCCCCCTCTCATCTTAAACTAATGGTTTCAGACTCCCCCTACCCTGGGGGAATTATCCATGTCCCTCATGATTTTATAAACCTCTATAAGGTCACCCCCTCAGCCTCCGACGCTCCAGGGAAAATAGCCCCAGCCTCTCCCTGTAGCTCAAACCCTCCAACATCCTTGTAAATCTTTTCTGACCCTTTCACAACTTCCTTCCTGCAGCAGGGAGACCAGAATTGAACGCAGTATTCCAATAGTCACCCTAACCAATGTCCTGTACAGCCACAACATGACCCTCCCAACTCCCTATACTCAATGCACTGACCAATAAAGGCAAGCGTACCAAACACCTTCTTCACCGCCCTGTCTACCTGCGACTCCACTTTCAAGGAACTATAAACCTGCCCCCCCAAGGTCTGTAATGACATCTTCTGGGACAATGGTGACTTTCATTCATGACACAGACATTAGCCATTCAGCCCATCGTGTCCACGCCAACTCTATTCCCCAGTACCAGTCTCCTGCCTTTTCTCCATCTCTCTTCAAACCAAATAACCATCTAATGCCCCTCTCCAATGCCCTCAAATGAACCTGCCTCCCCACCCACACACCCCATTTCCAGGCAGTGCATTCGAGATCCTAACTCCTCGCTGGGTGAGAAAGGTTTTCCTCACATCGCCTTTGCCTGAGGTTTCAGATGGGGCTAATAGGATGGAGTTGCTGAGTGAGTGAGTGAGAGAGAGCAGGGAAATGAGGTGTGCAAAGGCTTTCAGAAAGTGTCTGACACAGAACCCTGTTGTTACATATCAGAGCGAGGTGGAAAACTCCAGTTGTAGAAAACACACACTCACAAACACACACCTCCTCCTGTTCACACAACTACTCACTCAAAACGCACACACACACCTCCTCCTGTTCACACACCTACTCACTCATAACACACACACACCTCCTCCTGTTCACACACCTACTCACTCAAAACACACACACACACCTCCTCCTGTTCACACACCTACTCACTCAAAACACACACACTCTCTCTCTCTCACACACACACATAGACACACTCTCATACATACACTCCTGCGCATATACACACACACACACACATACACAGACTCTCATAGATACACTCCTGCACATATACACTCATACACACACTCTTCCTCATACATACAATCCCGCACATGTCCACTCACACATGCACTCTCTCACACACACACTATCTCACATACACACATACACTCAGACACACATACACACAGATCCGCACATATACACTTACAGGCACACCCTCATACATACACTCCCACACATACACACACACTCTCACATATACACACACTCACACATGCTCACGCACACACAGTCATGCGCACAGTCACTCACACGTATACTTCCAAACACACACTCTCACACACACCCTCATACATACACTCCTGCAAATGTACATATACGCACACAGACTCTCTCTTTCACACATGCACACACTCTTTTTCTTCCACACACACACACTCTCACTCACACACACAGACACACACACACTCTCTCTTTCACACACACACACACTCTGTCTTTCTCACACACACACTCTCTCTTTCACACACACACTCTCTCTCTTTCACACACACACACACTCTCTCTTTCTCACACACACACACACACTCTCTTTCTCACACACACACTCTCTTTCACACACACACACTCTCTTTCACACACACACACACTCTCTCTCTTTCTTTCACACACACACACTCTCTCTTTCTCACACAGACACACACACTCTCTCTTTCACACACACACACACTCTCTCTCTTTCACACACACACACACACTCTCTTTCACACACACACACTCTCTCTCTTTCACGCACACACACACTCTCTCTCTCTTTCACACACACACATACACTCTCTCTCTCTTTCACACACACACAGATTCAGACACAGACTCAGACACATGCACACACACACGCGTGCGCACACCCAAGCACAAACACGCTCTCACCCACATGCATGTGCGCACACAGACACCAAACCCTGGTCAAAGTTGAATAAAAGTTTCTCAGAGGTGCAATTTGGCAAGTTAGCGAGGCAAAGGGGTAGCGGGACAGAGAGATTAGTGTGAAACACGATCAGACAGGACGAGGCTGTCTATGGTCAGTGGGAATCCCCTATATCAGTGAGCCAGTACAAACAGTGGGGACTGGGAGCAGATCTCCCGTCGAAGTGTAAGATACAGGGCTGTACTCACAGGGTCGGACGTATTTACATGCCTCCTGGAATCTGAGAGGGAGAATAGTACTTTTCCCAGTTTTTGCCCTCATGATGTCGATTTCCAGGAACTGGTTGGTGATGTAGCAATTGTCGTAGTCATCTCGGAACAGGTAATTTTTCCGATACACCAACGCCCTGAGGGCAGAACATCACCACATCGGTTAGATACAGAGTAAGGCTCTCTCTACACTGTTCCCCCCTACCAAACACTCCCAGGGACAGGGACAGCACGGGGTTAGATACAGAGTAAAGCTCCCTCTACACCGTCCCCCCATCAAACACTCCCAGGGACAGGGACAGCACGGGGTTAGATACAGAATAAAGCTCCCTCTACACTGTCCCCCCATCCCAGGGACAGGGACAGTACGGCGCACGCTCCTACGGGGCGTGGTGGGAGTGTGCGGGGGGTGGGGAAATGGGGCAGTCACTCCCTCGGGGATGGAGGGTGACGCCCAGGGTATTGGGAGGGAGCAGCGACCCCAGTACAGATCAGAAGGGCTGAGTGGCCTGTTCCCGTGCTGTGTTGGGGTCCGGGGGTCCACGATCCGTGTTTCCGAATATGGATATGAACCGAATCCTGCCTCACTGAATGTGCAGGTAGATCATGATGATGGTGGTACTGTAGCCAAAGATTCCGATGGTTTCATAGACAACGCCAACGCGATCTCGAATCTCCTCCATAATGTCCAGGGCTACGTTTGAAAGGCTCTTTGATTGATTCATATGGAGGTGGTAGTGATGCTGGATGGAAATGTTGAACTCAAATTCCTTTGCCACGTTGTCCAAGGCGTCAGAGATGGCTTTGGGAGAAGCGCAAGAACATAATGGTGAGAGTGGGATTGCACAGAAGGTTCTGGAAAAGGCCACGCAGCCTGTCGGGTCCTGTGCCGGAGGGTCAGCGCTGAGGGAGCGGGCGCTGTCGGAGGGTCAGCGCT